ATATAATGAATAATTCGCTACTTTTGGCATATAATTAGACATGAGGGTAGGCTGGTAGATATCCTCATGAGTAATAAAATCGAATTGGGTACAGCGCGCCCCACGTTTAGCATTGCTGGCGCACAAAAATATAGCTAATAAAAACAAACAGGTATAATAAAATATTTTATTAACACAAGTAGGGATCGATATATACATAATCTAGCTAGCTACAGTAATAAATAAAGTTTTACAAAAAGTAGTTACTTGTCATTTAAAAATGTTTATCTCTACTTTGGCAAATCACTGTAATTATGTTAGTCTGAGTCAAAGTAGGGAATATTGCACTGGGAGTTTGATTTTAGCCCACCGACTAACTAATACTTCAAAACATCCTTTTCGGGATAGAGAATGAGAGAAATTTACGTTCACTTGAAACCATCATGAAACAACTAGAACAAACGCTTCTATTTTTAGTATAATTTATAATAATGAAGGATTTTAGAAGTAGAGGGTTTTTGTCTCAATGTTTATTTGACCACAGAAGTCAGATATAGTCAACACATGAGTGTAGTTCCTGTCATCGAATATTGTCTCTAAGAAAACCACTGTTTAGCAGTGAAAGACTAGAGGGAAAGCAGCTAGTTATCACCGCCAACCTTGGGCTACTCTTTTACCAACGTATAGTGGGATTGAACGTCACATTATAACGCCCCCACTGCTGAAAGGGCGAGCATGTTCGGTGTGACGGAGATTCGAACCCACGACCCTAAGATTGCGAGACGAGTGCCCTAACCACCTGTCCACGTCGGGCCTGCTGTAGTGCTTTTAGGAAATTGATATTTATTTTTTTTTACTTAATAATTATTTTTATCTTTCAACCTTAAATCGGAGTATTTGAATGGTGCTCTGTAGAAAAAAAATTAATGATAATTTCATCTAGTTCCTTTAAATTAAGGCAGTTTTATTACCTCCTTCTTCCCATTTATTCAATGAACTTTCTGTATTTGAAGAATGCCGCAGGGAAGCTCGAGAATCTTGGAAGCTCCAAATCGATTGGCTGTGTTAGTTATGACGTCAGAAGTGCGTACGGAAAGTGTCTATTTCTTGAGAATGCTGAACGATGCCCAGATTGTAACATGTGAATGAAGTTGTTGAAAGTTAATGTAGCTGGGATAATCGCAGCAGCAACAGCTGTTGGCAGCTCTTTAATTAGAAAGTCGCTCATGAACTGCGGGACTTAAGTTTTCCAAGTTAAACGAAATGATAATCTAAGCTATCTAACAATTTTATAGTTTTTTTCTTTAAAATGGAGAATTTACCGAAAAATCACCACATGAATTCAGCGTTGCTTCCCCAGGCTTTGAAGGATCAGAACAAGACGGATGGACCACACTTAGTGAGTCCAGGTTTCGTCAGACCTACGAATATTTCTACTCAAACGTCTCCTAGAGAAGTTGCCATGGTAATCTGTAAACTTCAATACCAAAATGTCGTCTATACTGAAGGTAAGTTTTAATAACGAGGTAAGTTTTTGAAATATAAATTATTGTGACAACTATTAATGTTAATGTCCTGCGCTATTTCCAATATATATAAGAGAATTCCAACGTCAACTGTTAATTATTAGCTCTTTACATATAAGAAAGAAAACCTTCAATAACATATCAGAAAGACGTTAATTGACGCAATGTCCAATAATATGGATTCAAATTTGTTTCTTTTATATTAAATGACACATTCCAACCACGAGTTGGCATTTTAGATGTCTATGCCCTAAATGGTGTAAAACTTGGAGTGAATAGAGACTGACAACACAGAAAATAAAAGCATTCGCCCGAATCTTTGTGTAATTTGATAAAATATATTTGTGTTCATGAACATTCTTATTTCAGCACAGCACTTTTTTAGCCGCGGCA